ATACAATAAATATTTTTTGTTAACTGCAGCAGGAGCTTGTGTTTAGTATAGGAATAGGAATTTGAGCAGGGTTTCTCTCTGTTTATACTGGGCCCATGCATTAATAATGTCACGCTAAATCGAGCAAAAAATCACCCCCTCCCCCCCTATCGTGACGTTTTTCCTATACCAAATACATTGCTTGTCACAAAATCTTAGACCCCCCTTCCCCCCTTAGAGCGTGACATAATATATGCATCAACCCTATGACGCGCTTAACATAAATGGCCCAAAGCAACTAACGATGAGCTACTGATTCCGATCAATAGCGGTGCGGCTTCTTCCTCCTTCTATGGATGCTCAAGTGGGCTGCAGCTTGCTACTTACAGACAGTCTTTCGTTGTGTACTGGAGAACAATTTTCAACACCACGCGCTGAAAGCACTGCTGATGCTGACGACTGGACACCACCACACACGGTGATTGAATCTGAATCCACCTTGGTAACTAGCTGCTTGCGGGCAGCCTTTCGTTGTGTACTGGAGAACACCACCACTCACCACGCGGTGATTGAATAAACATCGTTTGGTGAGACCGGATCGAATTCAACTTTGAAATCTGTGTTAGGAAAATCGCTCTTCGCAGGCAATCGGTGATAATTTTAATTATCAAAGCAACAGTTGCACATTCGTGTAATTTTCAACAATGACATTTTGAAAAATGATTAAGTCTTAAATTTAGCAGATACATAGAAATATATCTGATCAATTGGCGAAAATATTAATGAAATCGGTCCAGGGGCAGCTGAGTTATTAACGTTTAAAATCTTTGATAATTTTGTTACATGTTCCATTTTCGGTTTTCACAAAGTGTACCCCCATATAGAAATCACAGATGAAGTCCTACGTCAAAAAAATGGCCGCTTCTGGGTTGCTCACCTGTTGCTTGATAGGTTTCCATTGCAGTGCAAACAACTGGCCACTTCTCCCACGGCTTTCAGAACCTATTCCGGGGCCAACAGACGACCAATTTCATCTATTAAAGATGATATGACCTCTTCTGCATTTCTCACAAAAGTCTTAAAACAATGAAATGTCACACGATAGGTTTGTAATGTTAAGACAAATTTTGCTCTTCCCCAAGGGTTTTCAAAACCAGTTATGGGGTCAGAAGGGTAATATGATCCATAAAAGTTTAAGACACTGAAGAAGTCTGCACATTGTAGACGAAATACGCGTATCTGTCAAGGATAAGCAAATACGGTAGCGGAAATTACTAATCCTTCTCTCTCTCTCTCTTTATACAGGTACAGACGCCCACATTCATCAGGATCCATAAAAGTTGATATGGCCACTTCTGGATTGTCCAGGAAATGCTGAGTTCAATTATATGTCACTCAATAGTTTTCTGATGTAGTAGTTCGCTTCCCCCAAGGCTTCCGGAACCTGTTCTGACGTCAACAGATGAGTAATGTGATCCAGACAAGATGATAGGGTCTCTTCTGGATTACTCTCAAAATTCTGCGAATAATATTATGGTGCTCGATAGTGAAAAGTTATCACTTTCCCAAGGGTTTCCAGAACCAATTCCAGGCCACAAGATGGTCAATGTGATCCAGAAAAGATGGTTAGGTTAGAATTTATTAATTTCAGCTAGAGGCTAGTTTGCCTTTTCCATGATATGGCATTTTCTGGATTGTTCACAAGGGATTCCGGAACCTGTTCTGGAGCCATAGATGGCCAATCTGATCCAGAAAAGATTAAAGGGTCTCTCCTGGATTGCTCACAAAATTCTGAGAACAATGATATGGCACTCGGTAGGTTTCTGTTAAAGTGAAACATTGACTACTTTCCCCAGGGATTCCTGAACCTGTTCTGAGGCCACTAAATGGCTAATGTGATTCAGGGAAGATGATATGGCCGTTTCTGATTTTAACCACTTCCATCAGGGCTTTCGGAACCTGCTTTGGATGGCCATTGTCACCCAGCAAAAGATGATATCTAGATAGAGCTGGAATTAGGGCGCAACAGCTTTTGTAAACAATGACTTCTCTCGATGATTTCTCGGAAGCCATGGCTCTCCCTGGCAAATCGACATCACCATCGAGTAGAGAAAGACTACTCCTACCCGATGGATATGTTGTTTTGTGTAGGCGTGCCTTGAATTCCGAGAAATCCACGAGAGAAGTCATTGTTTACAAAGGCTGTTACGCCCTAATTCCAGCTCTATCTAGATATGGCCTCTTCAGAATTGCTCACCAAATTCTGAGAACAGTGAAAAGTCACACGATAGCTTTCTGTAGTAGTGAAAAATTGGCCACTTCCGGAGAGCCTGTTCCAGGGCCACCACATGACCAATGTATCGCAGTACGATGTCATGATCATAAATGATAAGTTTTTGACGACAGCTCACACAGTTATGGCACAAATTTCATCAACATAGCTACAGTTACTAAGAAAAAACTAACAAATGCCACATTCATATCCGACCTCCACAAAAAGGAGGAGGGTCATAAGGAGGTGTGTGTGCGATCGTGTTGCCCAACTCTTCCCCTTGATGGCACATGCAAATTAGTTACGTAGTCGTCGAGAACGAGCTATTAGAGTAAATCAAAATCGGTTAAGGGATAACGGGATCAAATTCAAATTGTCGAAGTTATTTGTGGGAAATTTATCGTTAGTAGCAAAACTATAGAAAGCATTTAAGAGTAGAAAATTACGTCAACTAAAAAGGTCGCTTGATTTGTGCAAAACCGAGCCCCATAAATCTTCATGATGTTTTGATTAATTATAAACGTTCTGCAGTCATCCCACAATTCTGGGTCAGCAAATAATAAATATCAATCTGTTCAGCATATTATACAACTGGAAGTGATCCTAACTTCATCTATACTCGATATTCAGGGGGGACACCATGGACTTAGGGAGCTATTAATTTACAGAACATCAGAAAAAAGATGAAAATTATTGAATTCAATACCCAAACCCAATAATTCAGTGGTCTACTTAGCTCTGATTTGGATATGAAATTGGATTGAGATGAATTTCAATGGACTCTAGGGAGGATGACAAACTAAGTTCTGAATTTCCTTTTTTATGCTAAGAATAATTCCAAGGGAGCTGTGAGGAGAACTCCAAGGAAAATCTGTCGAGAATTTTATGGTGGTCTTGAGGTTGAGAATTACGAGAGAATTCTTATGAGCATTCTAAGAGAATAAACATAATTTAAGGGTAGAATTGGTGCTCAGCACGGAAAACAAGATCGACGGAAAACAAATCAAGGAAAAAAGGGAACATATTCAAGGGAATTCCAAAAATTAAAAATAAACACTTAGAAAATTTCCAAAAAAACGGAGTTGCTGAGGAGAAGATCAAGACTTTCGAAGGATTTCTGAAAAGAAATTCGAAGAATTTCTGAGGGGAGTTTTGACTTTGTGGATTCCGTGGAAACTCTTAGGAGGGTTTCCCTTTGAAATTCCAAGGTATTACGAGAAGAATAATGTAAATTACAGCTCATGTAAATTACATCCGGATCGGAGTATGGACGAAACATTTATTTGCAATACACTCAGGACTTGTTTTACACAGGGGATATGTACCGGGTAAAAAAACCTACCAAGCTTTTAATTTTTCACATGCTAACATACCGGTTTTTCCGGATCAGTGGCCACTCCGTGCTTCGTTTAGAGAGCTACAAATATTGATGTACTTCTCTCGAATGTGCTACATTACCCCAACGCCATCACCCCGAATGTGAAAACCAACGAGCAGCAATCAAAAGAAGGCAAAATCTCTTTCGGGGAAGAGGCCATTCAGTGTAACGGCATTTAGAGGATAATGTAGCACAACCGACCCTATTAGCTCAGGAGAATGGAACCCACGACGTTTTGCTCGGTAAGCAAAAACGATCGCCACAAAGCTATCAAGCTCCTTAATTGGAATTCATGTGAGCAGCTATTGAAAAACGTGGCCTCAGAAAATGTATCGACTTCCCTGAGCAGAGTATATGATTGTACTTGCCACACAAATACATTAATGCAAAAATGGTACAGGCATCGAATGCTCTCAATCAATAACTGTGGAAGTGCATCTTGAACACTAAATTGAGAGCACGCAATAAGCTAAAATGCGATAAACAATAAGCTTGAAATGCAAAGAAGAAATTATTGAAAATCTATTTACTTTAAACAAAAATTTATTTTAATGGATTCGATCTATTATGGCTGTACGTTAGACTGGGTCTAGTTTTTTTAGGCGGATTACAATCCCCTGTTCCCCACGGCGCTTTCAGTGTGCATTGTGATTCCCAACAACTGTGCCAAGTTTGAACAAATTTGGTTGCAATTTGAATTTGCAGGAGAATTAAAAAAAAATCAACCCGAAAGACGCACCGGGAATCGAACCCGCCGCCTCTGGCTTGATTTATTTCTGACCAAGTGTTCTGAGTGTACCTAACTGCCGTATAACAGGTCAGTGAGCTTGCACTTGGGGTGCCCAGCTAAATTCTGCTAACGAAATAGTAAAAACTTTTTGCGCAGAAGTCACAGAAAGAATCACGTCAAAGAGAATTATCATACAGTTTTTAAAATCAGAGTTGTGAAACAGGATTCGGAAGGTTCCAACGACAAGTAAGTCGCCTACATTCGGATCTCGTCGCAGTAATACCACGACATTTTTCTTGTTTAAAATGTATGATGTACATCGTTTTCAATGCGTCGAAATAACCTTCGTTATTTTCATTGAACACCTCCTCAAACGTACTTCTTAGCCGTATGAAAAAAAAAAAATCCTCGATAATATAGCGGTCAGTATCCCTCAAATCATGAAACCATCACGCATCTAGAATGTTCCGAATGCAATAAACAACCATTACAGCATTGCCCTTGGCTCTTGTCAGCTTGTGTCACATCTGTCAAGCATGTTACACCCCACCCCGAACGTCACCAGCAGTAGTTAAGGTACTGCATCGAGAAAAAATAAAACGGTTCAAGCAGAAAGCATAACATTTTCACTGATTACTCACCGGCCATGTCAAATCGCGTCGCAACCACCACCGGAGTATTCCTTCATACAATAACAAAAACAACAACAGCGGCTCTGCCGACGATCTCGGTGGCGACGACAGTCAATGTGTGTTGTTCTATTCCTTTTATTCCGCAGTCGGAAGACGAAAACCGTACGGACTCAATCTACAATAGTCGACGACCGGGTGATGACGATGCCGCCGAGGACGATTCTCGCTCATGAAAATCGGCAAAAATTTCAAAACTCACTTTTCTTCACTTTTCTTTTTGCACCGCAAAACTCCTTCTTCTTCGCACCAGTGTTGTAATGTTGTTTGATTTTAGGGGCTGCTTCCTGCCTCCTTGCGGCTTTCAAAACTCAGCACAGCTCTTGCTCTCTTTCTCTCTCGTCTTCCGTCGAGATTGGGTTGTTTTCAGCCTTTTCAGCACTGTGTGCCCGTTTGCTTGTTATCTTTCTTGCAGCACCAACACTTGTGCCTCTTTTGTCACCACTACAACTTTCTGAATTGGCACACCTCTCACTCACACCACCAAACTATTTATTGGCAAACACTGGTCGGTTGGGGGGGGGTCGGGAGAAGGCCGCGCGCACGTATCGCGACTCCTTTTTCCTTTTTCTCGCGTGTTGTTTGCTTCCTCCGAAACTCCACTCCACTTACGCACTCCGCAATTCCGAAACGTGTTTCACTTTTCCTTTCTCCGAAAAACAGCTTTTCCCACACCGACTTCTTTCACTGCCAAGCTACAAACCCTTCTGCGACTTGCATCCGCTAGAAATACACCGAAAGGAAAAACCGAAACGTTACTTTTGTTGCGATTATTACTGCAAGCAAAATTTTTTGACAACCAGCGCTGGCTTGTGCCTTGTGTCTCCGACGTCGTCGCTGTTGCTACACACTCATCGACTCATCGCTTGTGCTGACTGACGGCTGCAATGACTGCTTCTGCTGTCGTTGCCACTCATACGCACACACCTGTGCAAGGTCGCGGATTCCACACACAACCAAAGCAGAAAAGTGCGAGAGAATGATTGCTCGGTACGCTACCACACCACCACTACTATTGTCAGCACACGAAGTACTACACAACTGACTGCATCTAGTACTACTGAGTACTATCGAAGCTCAAGAGTGGTTAGTAGATGATGATAGGCCTACTCGCTCTCTCGTACGGTGGGCCGTGAAGTTACTGAATGGTGCTTGTGCTTTTCCTCCAACGGAGCGACGGTTCTCCTCTGTGTGTGCTGCCTACAACTCGCGATTTACGAAACGCAAAAAGTGTACCAGAATCGAGTGAAGGGTGTAAAAGAATTGCAGTGCAGTGCTGCCAGTTTGCCTTTTTTTAGGTTTAAATTAATTATTAATTTGAGTTGTGACAGAGAACTTCAAGCAGAATTACGAATTTATTCTGAGAAGAATTGTATGGAGACCGTGAGAAGAATTGCAGGTGATTTTAAATTAACATTCCAAAAGTTACACACAGAATTTGAAGAGAAAATAATGAAGAGCTTTGAGTGGGTTGGTTTATTTCCTTTTAATTCCGTTATTAACGGAATTTAAAGGAAATAAACCAACCCACTCAAAGCTCTTCATAAAGGGATTCCGTTAAGAGGTTCGACAAATTTAAAGGATTGAGAAAATAATGTCAATGGAATGCTGTCGAAGATTAAAAAGAGAACTTCAAAGGAATTTCGAATTCTGAGGTAAACAAATTAAAAGAAAATAAATCTAAAGGGTTGCTTCAAAGAAAATCAGTAGAGAATTCCAACGATTTATGAAAAAAAAAATCCAATTGATTTCTGAGGAGAACTCCGAACCAATTCTGAGAAGGGATTTGACTAGAGTTCAAAGAAATTTTAAAAGAAATCGAGCTCTCTGGACAGTTTCAAAGGTTTCTAAAAAAGATTCCAAGAATATTCCTAAGAGAGTTTCAAGGGAATTACGAGGAGAGTTTTCTGGTAGGGTTAAGACCGAGGTTAAGACAAATTGCATGATAATTCTTAGCAGAAATCCTAGGTATTTCTGGGATTAATACCATGGGAAAACTGAAAATAAAGTATTATTTTAGTTAGTATTTAGTTTGCACATTTTTCTTCCTTATGTCCGACACCATGACGTCAAAATTGGAACAGATACGAAGAATAAGTTACAAATATCACTGAGTAATTAAATCTAAAAAACAGATGAATAACAGATGGAGATGTTAAAAACTCGCTCTATTTCGCTAGTTGATTCTGAAACTCCAAGTCCGGTTCTCCTGTTTAATTCCCGGATGTCAATCAAATTCTGAAGAAATCCCCAAAGGGAATATCGATAAGAATTCCCATGCAATCGAATTATGCTGCCAGTTCACAAAAACAGAATTTAAAGCTCATGTTGAAGAAAGTGACAAGGCAGAAATTTGAAATTAATTCAAAGAAAATTCTGAATTTTGCTAAAGAAACTCTGAGCAGCACTTCAGGGTGAATTCTCAGAAAATTTACAAGGGAATCGTATCCTCTGAAAAGTTCCAAGGGAATTCCAAGCTGAGTTTCAATCAACAGAATTCCGTGAATTGCTAGTTGAGCTCAATGAGAATCCTAAGGACATTTCGAAAACAATTCAAAGGGAGGAAAAATTTAAGGAAATGGAAAGATATATTGATTATGCTAAGGAGAAAAGCTAACGAATTTTCATGTGATTCTTTTCAGGATTGTTCTTATTTAAATTCAAAGCTAATCCTGAGGTGAAGTTTAGATGCGAGAACTATTGAGAATACGAAGATAATTGTTGAGTGAATTTCAACAGTCTCCTAGAGGAAATTCCTAACGTGGTACGCAAAGAATTTCGAAACGTAATTGTGTTGCCTCTCCAGAAAACTTCAAAGTGCTGTAAATTCTGGATTTTGGTCTGCTGGTGAATAGAATATTGGTATTGGTTCAGGTTTGAGTACCTATAGTCTGTAGTTATAGTGAAGCAATTCTTATTTACTCTTGGTATAGTAAAGCAATTCTTCTTTGACTAAATTTTTTTCAAATTGTTTACGAACATCTATTCTTTCTTCATCTTCCTTGCATTTCAAGCTTATTGCTTATCGCATATTAGCTTATTGCGTGTTCTCAACTTAGTGTTCTAGATGCACTTCCGCAGTTATTAATTGAGAGCTTTCGATGCCTGTACCATTTTTGCATTATTATAATTGTGTGACAAGTACAATCATACTTTATGCCCAGGGAAGTCGAGAAATGTTCCAACCCGAAAAATTCCTAGATCGGACCGGGAATTGAACTCAGTCACCTCCAGCATGGTCTTGCTTTGCCGCTGCGCCTTTACCGACTGAGCTGAAGAGGGCCACATTTCTAGACGAATTCTTCAAAAGGTCATATCTGCTTTGATCGATTGTTTTCGTCGACTTTTCTTTGTTTAACCACGGCTATGCAAACACATTTCGTGCTGTTTTCGTCACCCAGTTTGATAAAAGAGGTTCTTACCTAGCGCTCAGAACGTCAAATACAACAAGGAATGTTTTTGCAGCCTTCCTTAGCTCAGTCGGTTAAGGCGCAGCTACAAAGCAAGACGATGCTGGAGGTGCCTGGGTTCGATTCCCGGTCCAGTCTAGGAATGTTTCGCGTTGGAAAATATCTCGACATCTCTGGGCATAGAGTTATGATTGTACTTGCCACACAATTATACTAATGCAAAAATGGTACAGGCATCGAAAGCTCTCAATTAATAACTGCGGAAGTGTATCTAGAACACTAAGTTGAGAATACGCAATAAGCTAATATGCGATAATTATTATTATTATTATCATCTTTATTTAGGAGATTTTCAGTCGCAGGCTGGTTCATCTCGGGAGATATGCGATAAGCAATAAGCTTGAAATGCAAAGAAGAAGAAGAAATAACGTTTTGCAGCAGAATTACTGACGAAAGAGAAAGCCGATCAAGGGAATCGATCAAATCAGATAAGGACCATCTCAAAAATTCGTCTGAATTTGTAATACAAGGACTGAATTAGTTCGAAGATTGCATAACAAAATTAATAAGATTATGGCCAGTTTTTCACATTCTTGAACTTTGCTGTGCTTGAACTTTTATTTTAAAAATCTCAAATTTAACAAACCTAAAACATTACTCTTTGAGTGGGATACAATTTTAAGATTCTGACACTACGAAGAATTGGCATTGGAGAATTATGAACAGAATGCCAAATTAGTTTTGAGGGCAGTTTTAGAGGAAATCTAGGGAATAACAATGGAATTTAACTAGAAATTTCAGGTAACCTTGAGCAGTGTCTAATGCAAATTGTGAAGAGATGTAAAGTTGAGTTTTAAGGTAGTTCTAAAGAGACTATTATGGGGATTATGATTATAATTCCAGGGAACTCTAAAGCAAACTTGAAGGATTTGCAAAGAGCATTCTAAGCGAATTAACCCTACGGCAAACTTGCCTACATGACTACAGTCCTGAAACAACGCCAAATGTCACCTACGGCTGAAAATCTCTTTAATGATGATAAATAAATCAAATAGAAATTTTGAGGAGATTCAAGGAAATACGGAGAACTTTAAGATTTAGGCTTAATTGCTTTTGTAAGCAAACATGTCAATCGCTGATTTCTCGCGAATAAAAGAACAATCTCATGAACAAACAATACCAAATGATAGAGGAACCATTCATCTACCTGTTTGTTAGTTTTTTAGATTGAGCTTTAATTCGCGAGAAATCGTCAAATGAAGTGTTTGTTTACAAAAGAAATTACGCCCTAATCTCGAAATTCTCCGGAAATATGGAAAATTCCATAGAAATCTAATTCTTCAATAGTTCAACAAATTCTTAGCAGAGTTTCATGCTCGTTTGAAGATGGTTTCACGTAAATTCCTAAGAGAGTTTATAATTAATTTTGATACAATTTCAAGGAATTTTCAGGGAGGGGAGGGAGAAATTTTGATTTTTTTTTCAAAGAAGCTAGTGTTACAAGAGAAATTTCCAAGAGAATACTACAAAGAGTTTCAAGAGAATTCCAAGATTAGTTCAAGAGATCCTCTTAAGGGCATTTGAGAAGAATTCTGAGATGAAATCCAAGGAAATTATAGGAGAATACATTTCTAAATCTCGTGAGAATTATTATAATTTCGAGACTGCTATGGAGAAAACTTCCAGGGAATACCGGAAGACTTTTTGGAATGATTTAAAGCAAATTCAAGATTCAGAATCAACAGAAAATCTTAAAATTCTGAGACTTCGATTGCGAACAAATTTCAAAATCCTGCTCTTAGAAAACTGTTTAAGTTTATGGAGCAAAACATTTTTGAAAAGTGTAAGAGTAAGGTATGTGAGCAAAATCCTCTATGAACGTACATTAAATATCCCAGAAATTTTCTAAAACAGTTTTCAAAAATTATCAAAAAATTTGTTTTGTTAGATCTCTTAATTTTTGGCATCCTGTAATATGAAGTAAAAAAAAATCCGAGCTTGAAGATCAGTGGCATCGCGTAATCTTACTTTCTACCTGTTCAACAACTTTGAAAATGTTATTTAGGGTCATGTTTACATTCAAATTAGTTTCAAAAGGCACAGGGTCTTCTAGTTTCACTGATTTGTATCCATTGGAACCAAAATTGTTCTGTTTGTTTAGCGTTGTTGAACAGGCAGAATGAGGTTAGAGCTACACCACTGGTGATGTATTCATGATTTTAAGAATTCAAGATATCGAACTTAAAATGCTTAAACATACGCACAACAAAATTAACTTCACGATTATTTCCCGGTTATTTTTGATTCCCGATTCAGTGGGGTGCTTCATTTTGAAAAAAAAAGATATAAACTGATTGGCAAACCCTCCAGTTCGATGCATAACTCCAAAATATGAACCTGTGAAAAATTGGTAAATATTGTTAAAGGTTTCGAGGCCACGCCAATAAAATCTAAAGATCGGGAGAACTTTTGTTATCTACAAAACATTCTGATCACAGGATTCGAAAAATACTGGTGATCAGAGAAAAAATAATC